ACAGAGACGACCCCCCCAACAGTGTGTGAGTTCTGTACCTAATCATCGAAAACAGGAAGAAAGCTCGCTCCAATTTCACAAGAAAGAAGAGGGCTGCTCCAAAAACCTCTTGGTAAAGGAAGAGATCCCGTTGCAGGTCCTCCACCCCAACAAGAAAAGGGTATTCTTTAATAATTCGGAAAAAAGCTTGAAATTCTTTAAAAATAAAGACAATTGTTTCAAAGTGCTTCGAATTACCTCAAAAGGAACACTTGTTGAAACAATGAAACTATTTGAAAAAATAAAGACCCTGGCCAGGCCCGACCGTCGCAAACCAGGATTCTTTAACATTTTTTGAAAAAATTGAAATTTTTGAAATTTTTGAAAAAATAAAGACAATTTTTTCAAAAATTTCAATTTTTTCAAAATTTTTTCCTTTTGATGAAAATTTTTGAAAAAATTGAAATTATTGAAAAAATAAAGACCCTGGCCAGGCGCGGCCCTCAGGATTCTTTAAAATTTTTGAAAAAATTGAAATTTTTGAAATTTTTGAAAAAATAAAGACAATTTTTTCAAAAATTTCAATTTTTTCAAAAATTTTTCCTTTTGAGGAAAATTATTGAAAAAATTGAAATTTTTGAAAAAATAAAGACCTGGCCAGGCCCGGCCGTCGCAGGCCAGGATTCTTTAAAATTTTTGAAAAAATTGAAATTTTTGAAATTTTTGAAAAAATAAAGACAATTTTTTCAAAAATTTCAAAAATTTTTTCCTTTTGAGGAAAATTTTTGAAAAAATTGAAATTTTTGAAAAAATAAAGACTCTGGCCAGGCCCGGCCGTCGCAGGCCAGGATTCTTTAAAATTTTTGAAAAAATTGAAATTTTTGAAAAAATAAAGACAATTTTTTCAAAAATTTGAATTTTTTCAAAATTTTTTCCTTTTGATGAAAATCTTTGAAAAAATTGAAATTATTGAAAAAATAAAGACCCTGGCCAGGCGCGGCCCTCAGGATTCTTTAAAATTTTTGAAAAAATTGAAATTTTTGAAATTTTTGAAAAAATAAAGACAATTTTTTCAAAAATTTTTCCTTTTGAGGAAAATTTTTGAAAAAATTGAAATTTTTGAAAAAATAAAGACCTGGCCAGGCCCGGCCGTCGCAGGCCAGGATTCTTTAAAATTTTTGAAAAAATTGAAATTTTTGAAATTTTTGAAAAAATAAAGACAATTTTTTCAAAAATTTCAATTTTTTCAAAAATTTTTCCTTTTGAGGAAAATTATTGAAAAAATTGAAATTTTTGAAAAAATAAAGACTCTGGCCAGGCCCGGCCGTCGCAGGCCAGGATTCTTTAAAATTTTTGAAAAAATTGAAATTTTTGAAATTTTTGAAAAAATAAAGACAATTTTTTCAAAAATTTCAATTTTTTCAGAAATTTTTCCTTTTGAGGAAAATTATTGAAAAAATTGTCTTTATTTTTGAAAAAATAAAGACTCTGGCCAGGCCCGGCCGTCGCAGGCCAGGATTCTTTAAAATTTTTGAAAAAATTGAAATTTTTGAAATTTTTGAAAAAATAAAGACAATTTTTTCAAAAATTTCAATTTTTTCAAATATTTCACTCAAAAGGAAAATTTTTTGAAAAAAATGAAATTTTTAAAAAAATTGTCTTTATTTTTTCAAAAATTTCAATAATTTCAATTTTTTCAAAAATTTTAAAGAATCCTGGCCTGCGACGGCCGGGCCTGGCCAGAGTCTTTATTTTTTCAAAAATTTCAATTTTTTCAAAAATTTTCCTCAAAAGGAAAAAATTTTTGAAAAAATTGAAATTTTTGAAAAAATTGTCTTTATTTTTTCAAAAATTTCAAAAATTTCAATTTTTTCAAAAATTTTAAAGAATCCTGGCCTGCGACGGCCGGGCCTGGCCAGGTCTTTATTTTTTCAAAAATTTCAATTTTTTAAAAAATTTTCCTCAAAAGGAAAAATTTTTGAAAAAATTGAAATTATTGAAACTGGTTTCTGTATTCTCGTATCTCCCATGCGTCCTTTGAAACAACCGAGACCTGCAAATCATACATAGAGGTCCAATACACCCTATATTATAGCACCTTATTAAAGATCCCTTATAGTACCCCTTCTAGACCCCTTTAAAGGAACCCTATGAAGGCCCCTATATGCGTATCCTCACTGCTCGAGACCGACTTTCCAACGAGCCAGCCCTGAAGGACAAGCGTAGAACATGTCGGGTTGGGGTTCACCCTTAAGGGGTCTACAAGGGTTACTGTAAGGGATCTAAGTTTAGGATTTAGGGTTTGGGGGTTAGGGTTTAGGGTTTAGGATTTAATCTAAGGGTTCCTTCAAAGGGGTCTACAAGGGTTACTACACGGGATCTAATGATGCAGGAACCTGATTAAGAAACCTTGGGCCTTTTTAGGGTTTTTTGCCACCCGCCCAGCTGAAACAAGTCGCACCGCAGGGAACTCGTCAGAACTCAAAGACTAGAGAGAGACTCCAGGGACTATGCGCATGCTGCTCCGAAAAGCCCAACAGCAAGTACCAACCATAGACAAGAGAGCATACGCGCCTTTTTAGGGTTCTTTCATATGAACCCTGCTATTTTTTGAAACCAGGGCTTCTTGATCAGGTTCCTACATTAGGGTGCAGCCGAGATCTCGAACACCAGCACTTCTTGGTTCTCTCTTTTTCTCCGAGTTCTCTGCGACACAGGCACATTCATGTAGGGTCTAGGGTTTAGGGTTCAGGGAAATCCCAAACCGTACGCAAAAAGCACTAGGTCAACAGGAAAACCCTGGATTTCTCTGGGGCCTCTGCCTCTTAGTGCTAGTAGTAGTGGTGGCTACTAGTACTAGTACTGGTAGTAGTAGTAGTAGTAGTAGTAGTAGTAGTAGTAGTAGTAGTAGTAGTAGCACTAGCAGTAGCAGTAGCAGTAGCAGCAGCAGTAGTAGTAGTAGTAGTAGTAGTAGCAGTAGTAGTTGTAGTGACAGTAATACTGCTAGAAGTCTTAGCAGCGGCTGTCGCAGATGAAGTAGTCGTGATGCAAAGCACCAGGCAAATTCAGACCAGCCGCGGATGAGAGCTGATCAAGCACCTTGATTCACGCCGACGGTTTTTAGCAGTCTCTAGGCTTTATAAGTGTCGCATACAAACAAGCCGCAAGCAAGGTCCTTTTGCTTGGAGTTTAGGGTGTAGTGATTCTTTGGCAGCTAGGGGCTGGACATCAAGGAACTATTTGTTTTGGCAATCTGTTCATCATTATGCATCATCGTTCGCCTTCCTCTGGTGCCAAGCGATGGAACATGATGAACAACGAAGGAAAAACAAAAAACCCTGACGCTCTCACTCATTTTTCGAAAAATCCAGGATTCTCGTCTGTCGACCCTTTATCGCAAAACGAAGAAAAACACGTAATACACACGTCAAGATTTCCTGAGGCTCTGATCTTGGACAGCTCAAGACGGTGGGGTTCACTGGGGGGGGTTTGGCCAGCAGCATATTCCACTCTGTGACGGCTTGCAAACAAGTTTATGACGATGCCAAGTCCACGGGAAACGTTCAAAGTTGAATATGGGGCAGAAAGCTCGGGTAGGAAGGTTGTTGGCTATGCCCAGTGCTGCAGCACCACGGTTTCCAAGCGAGAAATCTGAAATCAAGAAATTCCATCTCTACAAAGGCTCCCTGTCATCTGCTGATTCAATCCCCGCGCCTATACCTACAACTGTGAGTGAATTGTCTACTCAAGGACAGAGAACCGAAACCAACCTGGAGAGTCGGTGTGATTCAAGTTCTGCGACTGAGGATTTGCGGCGGGTGTATTATAACGCCTTGCCGCTTCGCAAAGCACGAAATCTTGTCACGCGACGCCGCTTGACATTTGTGAACGCCCTCGCGACCCTGGAAGGGCATTGTATCGCGTCCGCGCGCGTCCGATACATGCGTTTGCTTCTTGTAATCGTGACCTGGAAGCCATGTGTATTGAACTCGTGGGGTTTCAATACATGTATCATTTTTGTCGGTTTCCGATACATCTGCCTCGGCGGTTGTATCGGCATTTTGGCGCGCCAATACAAATTGTACCGGTCGTGGTTCGGCTGCATTTTGGCCTTTGTCTGGCAATCTGCACTTTGCATTCCATGCCAAGCCAGTTCCAGCATAGTGGCCAAGGCCGCATTGTAAATGAAGACACCCAGCAAGATCCCAGCTGCCCAACATTGATGTCGCCCCGTGCTCTGAGCACATCCGCCAAGAACGGGCGACTCAGGACAAATATGAGCGGCAAGAGAAACATGACTTTTACTTTCACGACACACTGGCTGCATGGACATGGTCTTACACACAGTTATCGCACGCAGACCTATGCAAGAACTATCTGCACACCTCAACCTGTCGCCTTCATGCCGCTGCCCTGTACCCCCCCCTAGCCAACACCCCCCGTTCTGAGCTATCCGATGATCATTTTTCGAAAATTCCAGGATTCCAGTCCGCCGATTCCCCGGCCCTTGATCGCACGACGAAGGGAAAAAGCGATGAACAAAATATGCAAAACGAAGATATCCTGAAGCTCTCTTCATTTTTCCAAAATTCCAAGATTCCCGCCCGCCTTTCCCAATTCTCCGCCAAAGTATGAAACCACGATACCGGAAATAATGATTTCATGATGGCTCCAGAAAACAACTAACGATGATCGAATGAAGACAAGATGACAGTACAATAATTTTTGTGGACCTCGGTGTCTGCCCCTGAGAACCTCTGAAGAGGTTTAGAGGTTTACGATAAACACTGCACTCGGGTTTAAGGTTGAAGCTGGGGTGTTCGGAGGCTCCGCCCGAAGCAGCGACCAAGGATCCTCCTTCGGCATACGGTGGAGATAAAGTTCCAAAGAACGACACGGCTATAGGTCAAGGTACATTCCATGGTTGTCTACAGACAGTAACCTAACAAGTAGATGCTACAACTGACCTTCTAAGATCTAGATTTTTGTAGAATGCCCGTCTGCGTAGGCCGCCCACAAGTTTACGTGCGGCGGCGCTTCGCGACCGGAGGCGCCTGACGTCCCGTTGAGGGTTTCGGGCTTTAGGGTTTCGGCGCTCACACTCGGACAATCCAGGCGAGGCATATGGTTCGGAGGTCTGCTGAGTGAGAAATTAGGGTTTAGGGTTTAGGGCTTTAGGTTTTAGGGCTTTAGTGTTTCGGGCTTCAGACCTTTCGGTTTCGGGCTTATGCTTCTGGTTTAGAGGCTCTGTCACGGTCCAGGAAGAAAGACTTAAGGCTTTCTTTCGTGTCTATGCCAGCGGGGTTTATCAGCACACTTACACCATGACATAAATCTGGAATTGTCCATTTCTTCTTGCTGGTCATAGGTGCGCAGTCCCAAGCCAAAGTATGTTGCCTGTGCCCGAATCCTTTCTTAGTCTCGGTAAGATCAACAGGCGAATGAACTTACCAATCATATCCCCGTAGTAGAAATACTATGCTACTATTCAGATATCTAAAAGTTCTCTAAACTGGGGTCCGCTTTTCAGGTCCCTAAAACACCCTAAACCCTAACCCTAAACCCCAAACCCTTCAACACGGACCCGACTGCCACTAGTTGTAGACCCCAGGGCCAGGGGGGGCAGCGATCGACCCCACAGTGAGGTTACCAGTACATCTCATAAACTATCGCGTGTATAAATGCAAGCAAATGAAAATTGACAAATAAACTGAAATATCTATGATCAGGATGTGCGGCTTCGGTTTTAGCCCAAAGCCCCTGAGCCGATTTGATTGGCACGGTAACATCAGAGCTCTGACCCCTAAAACTCCTCTATATATATATATATATATATGTATATGTTTTGTATGTGTGTATATATATATATATATTTCTTTATATATATCTACGTATCTACATATTTATTAATATACAAAGTATAAGCGCCATCCAATCGACATAGGATTTTGGGATGGCTTACTACAAAGGAATGTACAGGAACCCTTCAGGAATAGTGCCGGTATTCGTTTGGGCCTCTATAATAAGCCCAAACCTGTCAGTCCTTGCCCTTGAAATTCTCGACTTATTTGCCCTGCATCATCGAGGAAGTAAAGGTTAACCTTCGGCATGATACAGGGACTATAGCATAGTACACCAAAAAGGGTAAAGGTTACGACAAGGTCAAACCTGGTCTAAGTGGATGAAGGGACTATAGTACCGTATCCCAAAAAGGTTAAAGGTTACATAATCTACTACAAAGCTAGTCTAGGTGGATGACTTGCCTCCGACTTGGCCACCAGCGGCGAGTTGCATCGCACATCGAAGAGGCGGCCTCTTAGCTACAGAGCAGAGCTTCCAGTACTTCAGGGCTTGGGTTCATGGTTTGAGTCTAGGGAACAGAAGCCCGTAATATGAGGGCCTTAATGATTAGGATAGGGTTTCAATTTTTAGGGCTCATTATACTATCATTAACCAAAATCATGGTATTGGTAATCACTACGGCACCTATATTAAACTTAAACCCTTAGATGCCCTAAGCTTCAAGGAGTTAAGCTTGCTGGTTAAGGGACTCTTTTGCTTCCAGCCTGCAAAAGCCCCTGCTGGGAACCAAATCCTTTAAACCTACACCCTGAATTAAACCATGCAAACCTTAAGGGTTTTTGGTGGGCTAAACTCTACTGATGGCTCTGTCTAACGATTCGATTCTATGTGCTCGTGATTCCGGGTCTACGAGGTCTAGAATGGCGCTTTACAATGTTCTACCTAAGGATGCTCATTGTAAGTTTGCGTGGTGATGTTTGGATTTGTGGGCCGGGAGGGCAAGTTTTTGAAGAGTCGTGTGCTGCACCCGGTGACGGGTTCGGAGGGTCCGAACATGTAGGATTCAGGAGCATCTTCACACGTCTTTTTATCGTGGAATATCTAAACGACGTTCTCAGCTGTGGGCTGCTGCTAAACTCGCTGCAGAGTATCAAATTGAAGCACAACTTTCCTAAAGTAAGGGCCAGAACAAGGGCCGCCAAATGCACCGAAATCTGGACCTGGTGCCGAGTCCACCTGTAATAACCCCGGTGTTGAAGGCTTGGATTGCTTCGAAACATTTGTTTTAAAACAATCCGATCACTGTTATGATCCATGTCACTTGATCGGGGCTCGATGCTTAATTGTGGGCTGGCCACTCCTTTGGGAGGCGGGGCTTTGAGATGCTGTGAAGGTACAGGTCTTCTGCAAGGTGTAGCGGTTTGAAGGTTGTGGACAGGAGTAATGAACCTGATACTTGTTGTATGGGATATGAACTCAATACTTTGGTTTAGGGTTTCATATGGGTAGTTGTCAAGATTAACGTCCATATAAGGATCGAAATTGAAATGGTTTTCTGGAGGGAGTCGGGTTCAAAGGGGGCTTCGCAGGCAGCTGCAAGGCAGTGGTGTTAACAGTGTATAAAAAGCAACATCCCCGCAGCTGAGCCCAAGCACCTCGACACTCTAAAGGTACGATCTGTGATTGGCCTTCCGGATTCAGTGCAAGCTTGACTCAGGATTTCTGCATTTTCTAAAACCTCTCGTGTTCCTCTGGAGACATTAATTATTGCTGCTCCATAAGCTGAAGCTCAACTGCCGGAAGTACTTAAACGTGCCGGAAGAACTGAAGCCTCATTGTCAAATCTGCAAATAAATCTAAACCCAAAAGATACCAAACCCTGAACTAAACACACAACCGTGAACCTGGAGAAAAGCCTCTGTACACGGGACAGGAACCAAAGCACGCCCACGGAACACAACAACAACAACGATGGATAGCTCGAAACTCTGATGCAAAGTGCATCTACAGAACCCAATAAGCCGCAAAGCCCTACACCTTAATCCGCAAATCACGCAATAAACATGTGTGTATACATGCATGCATATATATATATATATTAGGTATCGCATATATGTATATACATAAATACATATATGTTTACCTGTAAAAGATGTGTGTATGTATATATATATATATATATATTCTATATATACATAAATTCTATATTATATATATATATATATATTTAAAAATATTTCTACAAACATACACACCAAAAAACCTAGGATCGGGCCTCGACAGTTCTGGATGCGAACCTGGCAAGCAAACAGCGAAATCATGCCCAGAAGGCCGTAAGATGGCAATCGATTTAAGGT